TTTTTTTTTTTCACTTTTTCCCATCTTTCTTACCCCTTCGTCTGGTATATTTTTCTTGAATAAATGAGATAGATTGTTCTTAATTACTGAAGTTGATGAATTATGCGGCTGAAATTTTTGAAATTCCTAAACCAAAAAATAAAAAAAGTTTACAATAGTAACAGCAGCAACGGTATCAACAACACTAAGCGCAAACAGATCTGAATTAACAGACAGAGCAAAGAAATGTCTTAGAAAGAGGAAAAAGAAAAAGAAAAGCAAAAAAGTCATTTATGGTCATTACTTTCTGAAGATCTGATAACACTCTCTGCTTTCAAAATCTTTTCTCTTTGAATCGGTATACTTTTGATGACCTCGTCCAATTTCCGTTTCAGTTCTTCCTTTTCATGAATCATTACAGGTCCCGAAAATCTTTCTTCCAATATTCGAATTTTTTCCAATGTCTCCTCTTGCCACATTTGGATCTTTAAAAGTTGCATTGTTTGCATCGCTGTATGCGGTACTTTCATGCATCTTATTATATTTTTAACTACTACCAATGTGCCTGATCAAAAATTCTGACATTTTTCTACTGACAAGAAATCGCAGATTTTAATCTGGTATCACCATCCATTACCTCCTCAACAACCCGAATAACACTCTTTTGTTGCGCACGATTACGTTGCCACTGTTCCCAGCTTTCAGTAATGTTGCCAAACCGTCTTTCGTGTTCAGCCAACAGACCACGGACTGAATCGCTGGCCTGCACAACATCCAAATGCCGATCAGATATACCAACAGAATTTGCCGCAGTGATAAATTTATCAGCTAAATTTTTGCACTTCTTGAAATTCTAATGGTCACAAATTAGTGAAATAACTTTAAAGATGAAATAAAGATAAATTGTTTCTCTAAAAGAAGTTTCCAATTTAGAACCTTGACGCCTTTCTTGACTCAATGTTTCTTGTATCATTCGAAAAACTTCGCCCATTTGTGTACTGAGCTTTTCGCTCGAGAAATTGCGATTTGACGACAATAAAGCGTCAAGACTTTCAAATGAAGCCTCGAGTTCCTTGGCAAATTTGTGCACCTAAACAATAAACTGCCAATAGCAACCTTCTAAACACACAGTTTTTTAGTTAAAACTGCTTCAGTGATATTTCTGTTTATGCTGCCAACAAACCTGATAAAATGCACTTCCAAGTTGTGCACGTCCTTCCAGAAGTTGTTTCAAGTATTCATATCGAGAAGCCAATTCATTTAGCTTTTTCCTATCACTCTCACTGCTCTCATGTGATCGGTTCAACAATGCGTTGAACTCAGTATCTTTATTCTAAACATTTCGACTTTCAAAATATCCTGGACGACAACAACAACAGTAAGTGCCGTCGTTCAGCAATTAAGTATCAGAACAAAAAATAAAATGAAACTTACAATAACTTCGGTAATAAAGTCCTTATGTACAGAGCAAAATTCGGATGCTTCACCTAAACTGGTACCCATTCTCGTTTTTGTAGCAATAAATTTCTCTGCTACATCCACAAGCCATTTTTCAAATCGGTTTAGCTAAAAAATTTGCAATGTCACTAATATTTACCTTTAAATGTTAACACCACTTTCATACAGCTATAACTAACACTAAAAAAGTAACAAATTATTTAATCTTCAAGAAATATAAGTGAAAAAGATAAAACAAGTCATTGCTGAAACTACACAAAAATGAATGTATGCAGAAGTAGATTACCTCTTTTCTGTACTGCTGTTGAGTAGAATCAATAGTGTCTTTTGCTAATTTTTCAATTCTTTTTAACTTTTCTTCAATTTCTGTAACAAGTTGTTGCACTCGGTGATCGATATGCACCAGACGTCGTCCTTCCTCGATAACGTTTTGTGCCTTCTGCCGTGCCAGCGGAGCCAACTCTCCTGCCATTGCTGCATTTGCATTTCGCATATCGTTTTCCATAGACGTTAATTGGTGTAACATCTGTAAATATGTCGAATATAGAGGTGATCAGATAGTTAGAAATACAGAAGTTCTTAAGAAGGAGTAAACCAATCTGTGTTTTAAAAATTCTGTTTCAGTAAAGAGATTAACAAAAAAAATACTGAGTCAAGAAAAAACTAATACACACTTCAAAAAATAAATTTTTTTTAAATTAGAACGGACCGGTAATTACTCTAATTACCCTTTTTTTGAGTCGCAAATAATAACATATACCGAATTTGCAGTGGCGATAAAGTCGCTAACGTCTCGTAACTCCTTTCTTCGCGTTTCAAGTAAACGTATAAAATTTGCCAAATCAATTTTTAGATTTGATATACGATCTTTAAGACTGGTTGGACAATTTTCTTTTGACCATTCTTGTGCCACGTCTTCTAGTATAGAACGTTGCTGCTGAAGATAATAATAATGTAGCAAACAGTTCCTTACAGTATTCTGACTAAATGGTACATTACAATTTGGCGAAAACCTTTTCGACACTAGAGAACCACTCTTTTAAATAAAACATCAACTTGTTTAAAACGAAATAAAATTGTACATAAGCTTGCTGCAACAACGGATTAACGTCTTCTCCACGCCCGAAAGCATTCTTAGCTGTTTGTAACCACTGTTCAATGTCTTCAAGTTGTCCAAAAATAACGTTGGTTTTGTCAATGCTAGCAGTTAGCGTTGGACTAACCGTTTTCCATGACTCTTCTAAGTGATCGAACTCTGATGTCACCTAAATGCTAATCCATTTGCTGCGGTTAACCAAACGCAGTCCAATGTTTCTCGTATCAAAAACAGTGGTATATTCACTAAACAATAGTTTCAGTCGCCAAAAATTCAAAATTTAAAGAAAACCTACTGAAAGCATTTTTTTCTCGATTCGTAAACAGGCATTTAGAGTTTCCTGACCTCTTTCTAAATTATCAGCCATAGCCCCAAGAACTCTAATCTGGGTAATAACATCTACTGCACTACCGACTGCTTTTAATGTTATATCTGTTAAATCTGCAAGTTTAATCTAAAGTTAGTCTTCAAGGTATAAAAGACTAAAACATTAATTTCAAAAACATTTTTGACCAATTTTTTCTTGCAGTTGGAATCACTGTGTAGCACTGTTTGTACACCTCCACTTTGTGCTTAAAATGCAGTTACCGCTGCCGCACAAAATATTTTTAAAAATTTTGAATCTTACCATCTAAAACTTGTTGTAGTTGCTGTCGTAATCTTACTCCATCACTAATCTGTCGACTTTCGACTTGCCTCAGTAAATTTCGCGCTTGTAGTGATATCTAAATACGATCAGTGGTCTGTGGAATATCAAGATAGGTCGCAGTAAAATTTTTATCAAATCAAAATAATATGTTTTTGTATCGTTCTTAAATAGTGAATGCCTTTTAAAAGACGCTCTTACATTTTAGCATTTATCCAATGGAGAAATTTTAGTATGCTGCGCAGTACAATACACTTACATTTTCGTGTTTTTTAACCAAATTGTAAAATCGAAGCGTTTCGCTGAGTAAAAATCCTCTCATCTGAAGCTGTTGATTCAGTTCCTTCCAAGCCATCGCTAGGCTCTCAGCCATTGCCTCATACACATGAACATCAGGTTCATTCTGTTCCGTAACCAAATGATCGGCACGTGCCAAGAGTTCATGCACCTGATCCTCTTTACTCTAAACGAAAACCATTTAATTATGGTTCACAAACTACTTGACTGATCTTTCACGAATAACTAAAAATTAGCTTGCTTGAAAATAAATTTTAAAATTAAACTTTTGGCATAGACAATTTCGAAATTCAATTATAATCCTTTATACAGTTCTACAAAAATAGGAAATTTATTTAATACTATCTGAAATAATTTAGTATTACTCCAAACCTAAAAAATTCTCCTGTTTACTATCAAAACGTTGTTTAAGCGATAATTCAGAAAACTTCGTTTTAGCCGACACAATCCACTATTTACCTTAAGCCTGGCGATAAGGTCGTCATGAATCTGTAATAGCCCGGCGGTTTCTTCCGCGGTTTCCCCGAGTTCCAACATTCGTGGCCGCATCTCATCGATCCGTAGCGTTGCATAGCCGACAGACTAAAATAATGCGAACTG